TTGTACTTGATGATGTTAAGCTCTTTTCCAACCCAGTCGTTTCAATATCTCCCTGCAGCCCACCGTGCCAGTGCCTCCATCCCTGGGACTGAAGCTGGTGGTGGAAGGCTACTCGCTAACGAAGCCCCAGCTGCAGAAACAACAACCCCAGGAGAAACTCCCCATCACCCTGCCTCTTGTCTGCCCGGTGGGGACAAAGTCACTGGCGGTGGCCAAACCACTTATGACCACCAAATCGTCTGTGGTGCCCATGTCACCTGTGGTACCCAAGCCTCCTGCAGTGCCCAGGCCTCCAGCGGTCTCCCACCCACGTACTGACACCAACCCTCCCTCGGTGCTCAAGGCCACTGCAGTACCCTGGCCTCCAGTCGTGCCTAAACCATTTACGGACACCAAGCGTCCTAGAAGCGCCTTGCCCCCTATAGAACCAAGCCTCCCTTGCTGCTCAAGACTACTGTGGTGCCCCGGCCTCCAATGGTGGCCAAACCACTTAGGGACACCAAGCCTACTGTTGTGCCCAGGCCTCCACTGGAACCTAAACCACTTATGGTCACTTATGGGGCCACTGTCCCGACAGGGCACCCGCTCAAGCAGCCGCAGTCCCACCAACAACCCTGCCTGCATGTCCTGGGCAGCAGAGCCGTGCTGCAGCCAAGGGACACGAAGCAGCGCCCGGGAGCAGGCAGAAACGCTGCGACCATAAGGCCGTGAAGAAGGGAACAGCGTCCTGCGCACCAGAAGTGCGACACCACGACGGCAACCGCTTCCCCCTACCTCAGCCAGAGCCCGCCATCGCACAGGGACACACATCCCCCAGCCAAGGGGGTGAATTGAGTCAGTTTGACGAGGTGAACGCCATCCTGCTGGCCTGGAACATTACTGAATGAGAAAAGTGGAAAGTATATATATATATACTGACTCAGGGATGGTGGCAAATGCCCTTCGGGGGTGGTTGCAGCAAGAGAAGCAAAGCTACTGGAAACACAGACGTAAACCCATCTAGGCTGCTGCGCCGTGACAAGATACCGCTGCCCGGGTGCAGAACCTGTTGGTGAACAGGGGCACACCATGGAGATGCTTATGTACGAAGAGCCAGGCCACTGAGGAGCACCAGACCAACCAAGAAGTGGATAAAGCTGCTAAGATCAGCATCGACACCAGGGCCTGCATTGTGGGGGAGGAACTCCTTGAGAACCTGAGGCTCTGGAATGGGAGAAGGCAGATCCCTCATGCTGGGATTTTGGGAGCGGGCCTCAAGCCAGCGTGCCCTTTGTGCCCAGAGCCCCCAGTCCCACCTGTGGGAACAGCGGTGCCATCGTGCCCAAGCCCCTCTTGGGGACAGGGCAGGAGGACGCCCCAGGGTGCTTGTGCCCCCTGTGCTGGGGAAGGGCTGGGTTTGAGATGCCAAGAGCACGGTGAGGGGCCTGGCACCAGCCACTGGGGACGCAGGCCCAGGGCGCCGGGGCACACAGGCCCTCACAGCCGCCTCTCTTCTCTCGGCTTCCGGGGCCCATGGAACGCCCGAGGCCCATGGGCGGGCCACGGAACGCGCTGTGACGGTGGACGTCTCGCAGGGCTCCTCGTGGTGCGCCCTGGCAACCACAAACAGAGAGGGCGGTCCCGACGGTGGGGGCAGGACGTGTGGTGGGAGGAGCGGGAAGGGTGGCCTAAAAAGGGGGGATAAATGGGGTTGAACGGGGCTGGGGGGCACCAGAGGGGTTGGGGGGAGCCTCGGGATGTGGGGCACGAAAGGGTTTGAGGCTTGGATGGGGGGGTGTCTCGATGTAAAAGGGTTAGAGAAAGGGGTCTGGGAGGTTGAGGGGTGACACGCATGAAATGACACGGGAGGGCTGGTGTTTGTCCCCCTTCGGGACAGTGGGGCCAGTGCGATGGCCAGGGCTGGTGCAGGGGCTGGGGAGTTCCATGGGCTGTGCCGCACCCCGGCCTCCACGGGGAGAGGGGAAGCGCTTGTGCCTGGGGAATGAATAGTCACACCAGCTCCCCTCGCCCTCAGGCTTTGGCTGGAAGGAGTCAATCTCTCTTTGGCACACAGACTCCCCCAGCCTGGCTGGGGGGGGCGACTGCCAGACCAGGAGACGTTCCTGGTGTTACTGAGGATTTCCACAACATCTGGAAGTGAGGCCTCCGGGCCCTGTGAAGCACCTCTCGGGGTGCACAGTACCCGGAATTCCGGCACGAATTTCTCTGACTTCGTGCCAGCTGCGCAGAGCAGCCCCTGCTCAGCCATGCAGCAGCACAGAGGTGGGTGCCTTCACCCCTTGTCCTGCTGTCCCTGCCATGGGACTGGGGACACGGGGCCAGCAGCTCAGCCTGGCTTGTCCTTGGCAGCTCCTGCCAGCACCAAGCAGCAGCCCCCAGTCAACAAGGAGCTGCTGAAGCGGGCCAGACAGCATGTGAACAAGGCCATCAAGGTGGGACCCGATTACACACACACACCCCCCACAGCATGCCATGAACATGAGCCTGTTGCATTTATGGCTGAGCGCTTGTGTCCCTCCCCAGGAGAAGAAGATCTTCTCAGTGCAGGGCCCCTACCCTGTGATGCGCAAGCTGCTGCGGGCACGCGGCTGGGTGGAGAAGAAGTTCACCACCACCATCAAGGTGGGCACCCGCTCAGTGCAGCAGCACACAAAAAAGCTGTTGGAGGAGAAGCAGGAGGATGGCGGTGGTGAGGAGAGGTGGGAGGCAGCGCTCCATCCAGAGCCAGGGTCGGCATCCTGTTGGGCTCAGTGCTGGGGCGAGAACCTGGAGCCTCCTGAGGAGGAAGACGAAGAGCAGGACGAGGTCCAGTGTTATGCTGAGGACCCTGATGGCATCCATGACATCATGGTTAGTGGGGAGGGCCAGGGCTGGACTCCGTAGAGCACAGCCTGGGCTGGGCGGTAAGGGTGGGATGGAGGGACAGCTCACTTCAGTCCCCTCTGTCCATCCCGTAGTCCTCCATGGTGAAAGACCACCTGCCGACCTTCATCTGGACGAGCCGGTGCAGTGCTGTACACTACCGGGAGCTACAGAACCACCAAATGGTAAACCACTTCACTGGCACTGGAGCCTTCACCACCAAGGTGAGAGCCTGGAGATGTCCAGGATAAAGCACGGGGAATGAACAGGGGTGGCGGCAGGTCCAGCCCTGACTGCCACCCTTGTCCATCTACACAGAAGGGGCTGTGTGCCAAGCTCCAAAACCTGCCCTCATTCTACCAAGCGGATCCCACCACCTTCTTCCCAAGGTGCTACCAGCTCGGGGATGAGGATGGACGTCAAGCCTTCATCGGTGAGCTGCGGCTGCTGCCCTTCTGCCACCCACCCCACGCCACCCCCCCCCCATCTCCTACAGCCCCCCGTGTGCTGGGCAGCACAGGGTGAGGACAACTCAAATCTTTTACAGAGGATTTCCGCCTGACAGCAGCTCACAGCCTGCTCAAACTGGCTGTGGAGAAGCCTGGCATCATGCCAGGGGTGATGGAGCCACCTAGCAAGGGGGCAGGTGAGTGTGTGGAAATGGGCCTGGTGGGGATGGTGAGGAGCTCAGGCTCAGGGCCATGGCTCTGGCCTGAGCCTCTGCTCGGGGCTGTGGCTTGGGACCCTGATGCACCCAGTGCCAAGCATCCCATGGGTAGCCAGCAGCCATGCCCCTCAGTCCATGCCACTTCCAGCAGGTCCACGATCCCCCTCACCCCCTGAGCTGCTGGAGAAAGCGCTGCAGGTCTGCAGGATGCAGCTGGACAGGCTGGAGCACACAGACATTGACAGGGACTCCCCACAGCTCCACGTCACCGACGCCGACTGGGACTGCTTCCTGCACGAGTACTACCGTGTGGTGAAGTGCGTGTGGGGGGAGATGGGGGGGGGGGGGGGCACGCAGCACGGCAATGCTGGTGCTGAGCCTCCCCGTGTCACCACCCTGCAGCGAGCAATCGAGGCTGGAGCCAAGCATTCCTCAGCTGAAACAGTGCAGGGCACTGCTGCAGAAGCTGCAGGAGCGGCTGCCCCAGCTCCACATGGAGGGCGTTCACAATCTCTGGATAATCAAGCCCGGAGCTATGTCCCGTGGTAGAGGTGAAGGCACGGGGAAAATGGGGTTTGGGCACAGGCTTCCTGGTGAGGAGGGGTCTCACCGGCACCGTGTGTCCCCGCTCACAGGCATCACCTGCTCGGCACGGCTGGAGGAGATCCTGGAGCTGCCTGGGAAACCCGCAGCGCCCTCAGTGCAGCCAGGACAATGGGTAGTACAGAAATACGTGGAGCGGCCGCTGCTCATCTTCGGCACCAAGATTGACCTGCGGCAATGGATCCTGGTGACTGACTGGAACCCGCTGACCATATGGTTCTACCGGGACAGCTACGTGCGCTTCTGCTCCCAACCCTTCTCCCTGCAGCACCTACACGCGTGAGTGCCCCCCACCCTGGCACAGCACACCCTACACCCCAGCACCCTGTTGACCCATCTCTGCTCTCCCCACACCAGCTCCCGGCACCTCTGCAATGTGTCCATCCAGAAGCAGTGGAGGCAGGCTGCAGGCCGTAACCCCAATCTGCCCTGTGACTTGATATGGTCCAGCCACCAGTTCCAGCTTCACCTGCAGCAAGTGGGGCACACGGAGGCCTGGGAGAACGTGATCGTGCCAGGCATGAAGGAGGCGGTGGTCGCTGCCCTGTGCAGCGGCCGGGAACTGGTGAGGGACCGCAAGGGCAGCTTCGAGCTCTACGGGGCCGATTTCATGTTCGGGGAGGACTGCCAGCCGTGGCTGCTAGAGATCAACGCCAGTCCCACCATGGCGCCCTGCTCAGCAGTGACCCGACGGCTCTGCGCCGCCGTCCAGCGTGACGTACTACGTGTGGTCCTGGACCACAGGGAGAACCCTGGCTGCTCCACCGGAGCCTTTGAACTCATCTACAAAGAGGTGGGTTTGGAGGGGCTGTGGGATAGGCTGCTCTCTGCTCCCAAGGAACAAGCAATAGAACAAGAGGAAACAGCCTCAAGCTACACCAGGGGAGATTTAGGCTGGGGATTAGGAACAATTACTTCCCCCAAAGGAGCGGTCAAGTCCTGGAACAAGCTGCCCAGGTAAGAAGGAGGTCACCGTCCATGGAGGGGTTCAAAACCTGTGTAGACAAGGCCCTTAATGACATGACTTAGTGGTGACTTAGGCAGTGCTGGGGAACAGTTGTACTTGATGATGTTAAGCTCTTTTCCAACCCAGTCGTTTCAATATCTCCCTGCAGCCCACCGTGCCAGTGCCTCCATCCCTGGGACTGAAGCTGGTGGTGGAAGGCTACTCGCTAACGAAGCCCCAGCTGCAGAAACAACAACCCCAGGAGAAACTCCCCATCACCCTGCCTCTTGTCTGCCCGGTGGGGACAAAGTCACTGGCGGTGGCCAAACCACTTATGACCACCAAATCGTCTGTGGTGCCCATGTCACCTGTGGTACCCAAGCCTCCTGCAGTGCCCAGGCCTCCAGCGGTCTCCCACCCACGTACTGACACCAACCCTCCCTCGGTGCTCAAGGCCACTGCAGTACCCTGGCCTCCAGTCGTGCCTAAACCATTTACGGACACCAAGCGTCCTAGAAGCGCCTTGCCCCCTATAGAGCCCAAGCGTCCTGCAGTGCCCAGGCCTCCAGTGGTCTCCAAACCACTTACGGACACCAAGTTACCCGCGGTGCCCAGGCCTCAAGGGGTCTCCCACCCAAGTACTGACACCAAGCCTCCCTTGGTGCTCAAGACTACTGTGGCGCCCCGGCCTCCAGTGGTGGCCAAACCACTTTCGGACACCAAGCCTACTGTGGTGCCCAGGCCTCCACTGGAACCTAAACCACTTATGGTCACCAAGCGTCCTAGAACCATCATGCCTGCTAGAGAGCCCAAGCTTCCTGCTGTGCCCAGGCCTCAAGGGGTCTCCAAACCACTTACGGACGCCAAGCCTCCCATGGTGCTGAAGACTAATGCGGTGCCCCGGCCTCCAGTGGTGCCTAAGCCACTTACGGTCACCAAGCCTCGTATGGTCACCATACCCCCTATAGTGCCCAGGCCTCCTACAGTGCCCAGGCCTCCTGTGATGCCCAAGCGGGGCAGAACCACTCAGCTCCCACCCGCTGGAGAAGCACAGGTCAAGGCGGCTCCCCTGACGCAATTGCACTTGTGCCTCTCCTCCGCCTCTGCCCCCCAGGCACCACCACAGCCAAACCCCCTGCTCCAGTGGCGGCAGGCCACTCTGAGCAAGCCTGGGGCCACTGTCCTGACAGGGCACCCGCTCAAGCAGCCGCAGCCCCACCAACAACCCTGCCTGCATGTCCTGGGCAGCAGAGCCGTGCTGCAGCCAAGGGACACGAAGCAGCGCCCGGGAGCAGGCAGAAACGCTGCGACCATAAGGCCGTGAAGAAGGGAAAAGCGTCTTGCCCACCAGAAGTGCAACACCACGACGGCAACCGCCCCCCCACCTCAGCCAGAGCCCGCCATCGCACAGGGACACACATCCCACCAGCCAAGGGGGTGAATTGAGTCAGTTTGCCGAGGTGAAAGCCATCCAGCTGGCCTGGAACATTACTCAGCGAGAAAAGTGGACAGTTGCAACAATGGAAGCAGAGCAACTGGAAACACAGACGTAAACCCATCTAGGCTGCTGCGCCGTGACAAGATACCGCTGCCCGGGTGCAGAACCTGTTGGTGAACGTACACCGTGTAGATGCTCATGTACGCAAGAGTCGAGCCACTGAGGAGCACCAGAACAACCAACAAGTGGATAAAGCTGCTAAGATTGAAGTGGCTCAGACGGACTTACATAGGCAACATAATGGTGAATTATTTTTAGCCACGGACCCATGACACCTCAGGCCATCAAGCGGAGCCTGTGATATCGAGGGGCTGACTTAACGATGAACGCTACTGCCCAGGTCATTCATGACTGTGAAACACGGGCTGCAATTAAACAAGCCAAGTGGTTAAAGCCTCTTTGGTATGGAGAACAACAGATGAAGTTCAAATACGGGAAGGCCTGGCAGGCTGACTGTATATCACTCCAGGCAACCCGCCAAGGCTTACGCCATGTGCTTACCATGGTGGAAGCAATCACCGGGTGGCTGGAAACACATGCTGTGCCCCACGCTACTGCCCGGAACACTATCCTGGGCCTTGAGAAACAGATTTTGTGGCGACACAGCACCCCAGAATGAACCGAGTCAGACAATGGGACTCATTTCCAGAACAATCTTACAGACACTTGTGCCAAAGAGCCTGGCATCGAGTGGGTATATCACGTCCCCTGCCATGCACCAGCCTCTGGTTAAATCAAATGGTACAATGTGCTCTTAAAAACTACACTGAGAGCAATGGGTGGTGGGACTTTCAAACATCGGGGTATGCATTTATCAAAAGCCACCGGGTTGGTCAACACGAGGGGATCTGCCAACAGGGCTGGCCCAGCCCAGTCAGAACTTTCACGTACTGTAGCGGGGGATAACGTTCCTGTGGTGCACATAAAGAATTTGCTGGGAAAGACAGTCTGGGTTATTCCTGCTTCAGGTAAAGGCAAACCTACTCGTGGGATTGCTTTTGCTCAGGGACCCAGATATACTTGGTGGGTAATGCGGGAAGATGGAGAAGTCCACCGTGTATCACAAGAGGATTTATTTTAATGTGGGGGGAAAACAGCCAATGAACTCTATTATATGCTGGCGCCTGCTATATAACACTTTTATAGCCCATCAGCTAGATGCCCATCTCCACCACTCTGGACTTTGAAAAGAAGATAGGTGCTGTCATGATCATCAGCAGAATACAAAGTCATGCAAAAGCCAGCAGCAGCAGCAGAACTGTCCTCAGGTCACCACTGACTGACCCTGACTTCCCTCTGATCATCACCCCAACAAAGAATGACAAAACTGGAAGAGCTCAGCAGTGACCAGATGAGTTCAGTGGTGTCGTCAGCAGGCAACAGCCCACCCAGCACTACACACCATCTCTCCTGCCCTGAGAGACTGTTACAAGAGAGAGAGCCTAACATCGTGGCCTGAATGAATTCAGAAAATTCTATAGGGATTGGTCCATGTGCAATGGAATGATCTCTCTCTCTCTCTTTTTGTGTGTGGGATGTGTATAGATATTTGTGTATATGTCTCCCTCTCTCTCTCTCTCTCTCTATATATATATATATATGAGACAAAAAGCAACGGTATATTGAAAAATGTGGGATCTGAGCATGATGTGAATGGTATGGAATAAAGGGCAGATGCTGTCCTGTGTTCAGTAGTAGCAGTCATTTTTCACCTTCTTAGTAGCTGGTGCAGTGCTTTGTTTTCAGCTTTAGTTTAGGAACAGTGCTTATAGCACGCCAGTGTTTTTAGTTGTTGCTAAGTAATGTTTACTCCTATCAAGGACTTTCTCAGTCTCACGCTCTGCCAGGGAGGAGGGGAAGCCAGGAAGAAGCAGAGATAGGACCCCTGACCCAAACTACCAAATGGGGTATTCCACACCACAGCACGTCAAGCCCAGTACAGAAACAGAGGGAGTTACCCGGAAGGCCTAGATCACTTCTCGGTCAGGCTGGGTATCGGTCGGTGAGTGCTAAGCAATATTCTCTGGCCTTGTTTTTTTCCCTTATCATTATTATTGGTGGTAGCAGTAGTAGTTTTGTGTTATACCTTAGTAAGTGGACTGCTCTTATCTCAAGCCTTGGAATTTACATTGTTTCAACTATCCTCCCCACCCCTTTGGGAGCAGGGAGGACAAAAGTTGGGGAGTGAATGAGCAGCTGTGTGGTTCTGAGTTACCAGCTGGTCTTAGACCATGGCACCAAGTCTCTCTGCTTCCTAATCTGAGGCCGTATGTTGTGCTGATCACCTGTATAAAGGTTTGTTTATCCCATAGTGAGGAAATACGAGTGTAGCCACAGAAAAGAGAGGTTTTATTAAACTGGAGACTGCTCTAAATTTACCAAGACCTTGAAAGCAGAGCCTGTGATGGTCAGCTAACAAGACAAGCAGTTACCAAGACTCATGTAGTTGGAAGTTACACACACGCTGCTTTTCAGAGTAACCAAGTCAAAAGCAACTTGTCTGACTAGAAACACTGATCAGACCAAAAGGGAGAAGGTAGTTGGGTAGCTGAGGATGAGGTGCAACAGGTTAGCATGGGAAGAGATGTTTCCGACCGAAAGGGAGGGATTGGTAATTTATCATCTATGGAACATGGAGAGATTAGTGGAGCAAAAGAGAGAAATCATAACTGATGGCTGTTGGCCTCCCTTCTAACTATTTTGGCTTTTATGCAGAAGTTCCATCCTGTTACTTCACCATGTTCTTGTCCTTCCCAACCACACTGAAAGATTCATTCGTGTAACAAATGGACACCAAGCATCCTAGAATCGCCATGCCCCCTAAGGAGCGCAAGCCTCCTGCAGTGCCCAGGCCCCCAGGGGTCTCCAGACCACTGACACCAAGCCTCCCTTGCTGCTCAAGACTACTGTGGTGCCCCGGCCTCCAATGGTGGCCAAACCACTTAGGGACACCAAGCCTACTGTTGTGCCCAGGCCTCCACTGGAACCTAAACCACTTATGGTCACTTATGGGGCCACTGTCCTGACAGGGCACCCGCTCAAGCAGCCGCAGTCCCACCAACAACCCTGCCTGCATGTCCTGGGCAGCAGAGCCGTGCTGCAGCCAAGGGACACGAAGCAGCGCCCGGGAGCAGGCAGAAACGCTGCGACCATAAGGCCGTGAAGAAGGGAACAGCGTCCTGCGCACCAGAAGTGCGACACCACGACGGCAACCGCTTCCCCCTACCTCAGCCAGAGCCCGCCATCGCACAGGGACACACATCCCCCAGCCAAGGGGGTGAATTGAGTCAGTTTGACGAGGTGAACGCCATCCTGCTGGCCTGGAACATTACTGAATGAGAAAAGTGGAAAGTATATATATATATACTGACTCAGGGATGGTGGCAAATGCCCTTCGGGGGTGGTTGCAGCAAGAGAAGCAAAGCTACTGGAAACACAGACGTAAACCCATCTAGGCTGCTGCGCCGTGACAAGATACCGCTGCCCGGGTGCAGAACCTGTTGGTGAACAGGGGCACACCATGGAGATGCTTATGTACGAAGAGCCA